CAGAGATGGAGAAATTGACTACTTTGCATAAAGAAAGGACATTGTCTAGCTTTGTTTCTAACTGGAAATTACTCTTGGACTTTTTGCTTGATACTCAAAAAAATGCAATTTTGATTTTGGAATTTGAAACAGAATCAATCTGTTTCAACAATATATATGATTAGCACAAGATATTTCTATAGGTATAAAATAGAACATCTTATACCTATAGAAATATCTTGTACTAATCATATGTATTGTTGAAACAGATTGATTCTATGCCCTTTCTGAATGTTAGACTAAACATTATTTTTCACTTTGTAAATCTTTAGATATTAGAAGAGGAGGTGAATGTATTGTACATTTATACCTGTATCAAAAAAAGTCGGAAGTTACTTTTCTTTTTCTATGCTTTTTCTTTTCTGATGTTGCTTTTCTTTTCGACTTTTTTGTATCCGAATCTTTCTGAAATTTGATAAAATTTATTTAAAGAGAGAGAGAGAAATGGAGCTCACTATTAAGGTAATGCTGGTCCTCAACTTTGGGGGATTTGGGAACGCATTTGGAATGTTGCGATCGTATTATGGCATTCCCACCAAATAGCTATCAGCAGAGGCCATAATTAGCGACAAGGCACCACATTTCCAGAACGTGAGTTGCTTCTCCCCAAGTCTCTACTGCAGACACTCTACCCTTGTTCCTTCCAGGGTAGGTGGCCTCACTTCTAAATCAAGCACTGAGTTGTGGCCATGCCTCATTCTCAAAGACATTTTATAGAGGCCTTCCTGAAAATGAAGTCTACTCTATGGTTGGAAACCAATGTTTTGTCTTGCAGCAAGCCAACCTCCTGGATTTTTTAAATTATTTTTTTTAATGAGGGACAGGGAAGCTGGTCGGTACCAAGGGTGGTCTCGGTGGTACACTAGGTGACACGGTGGGGACCCCAAAATTTAATCCATGCAGGAACCAAGAGAGAGCAAATGGAGCAGTAGACAGTATTGGGAGAGAGGATCCACCACTTTTATATGTCTTTCCTGGTGCACAGAATGCTTGCTTGGGGAAGGCAAATGAACAACTCTAACTGCAAGGAAAAAAAACAGGGCTCAGAGACTCTTGGCACTGTGGGCTTTTATAGTTGCCCAGAAAGTTGACTTCCACATCCATACTAAAGTGGAACCTGGAAAGCCACTCATCAGTGCTTCATACATGCAAATGATGATTTATTATATGGCATATGGTAATACATAGACGTGTAATGATCTCGCTTTCTCCTTTCTTGCTTGGAGAGCAGCTGTGCGATTTTCCTCCCTTCACATCAGGTCTGTTTGGCTGAAACTTAGAGGAAGAGATCAGTCTTAGTTAAGCGGTGTCATGAGAATTACCCATCGAACAACGGTTGGCTTTGTGGCTTTGAAATGAGAGGGGAGGGGAGGGAAGCCCACATCCTTTTCTCAGCATCACAGCTGATAAATAGAAGCCCCCCTGAGAGATTAATTCTATCAGAAGGGGTGGAGAAGGTACAGGAACATCCAAGCATCTGGATTTTGCAGTCATTTGCTTTTGCTCTTTTTAGAATGAAGATGGAACAGAACAAGGCTTTGCCTAGAGCAGTGCTTCTCAACCTTGGGAACTTTAAGATGGGTGGACTTTAACTCCCAGAATTCCCCAGCCAGCAATGCTGGCTGGGGAATTCTGGGAGTTGAAGTCCACCCATCTTAAAGTTCCCAAGGTTGAGAAACACCGTCCTGGAGTTCTCAACCTCTGTCCTCACAAAACAGATTTGTCTTTCCCAAAAGCACAGTGCGGCTCTAGATTGCAGGAGGTTGCCTGCACCAACTTTCCAGAAGCTTACCTTGTTTTGTCTGTCGTGCTACTCTCTTCCGAT